GGTGTGAGGCTCAACCAGCCTGGCTCATTTGTTCAAAAGGCTCTCTTGGACACTGCGCCCGGCTAGTGCTTTTTCAGGGTGGTAGGTCTGTTGCGTTAGTAAGTCTAGGGTTTAGGATGTAGGAAATCGGGTTTACTGCCGTTTTAGCTGTGCTTCGATCAGGCTTTGCGGGTCTTGGGCTCAAGAGGTTCAGGGGTGAATTGTTTCGGAATTCAGGATTTCGGGAACTAGGAACGAAGGAGGAACCCCGAGACAATTTACACCAATTTAAGCTGCATGGCTGAGTCAGTCCCTGAATCCCTAAACTGAACCCTCGACCTTCTTCTTAACCTCAAAGCGTAGCCCAAAAGCCTGAACGAATCCCTAAACCCTGCACTAATCCCTAAACTAGACCGTAACCCAAACTCCAACCTTAAGCTAAACCTTAAACTACCCATAGGATCCTAAGTAGTTCCTTTTTGGGATTACCTTATAAGATTCTAAAGATAAACCACAAAAAGGAACTACTTAAGAGCCTATGGGTAAGCCCTAAAACCTTAGTTAGCAGCTTTTTGAGGCTCCGCGTACTCAGGCATCGCCGGCGTCTCTTGCCGATGCCTCCTTGGCTGACTTCTGAAGCCAGGGTGTAGGGCTTTAGGACTCATAAGGCCTAAAACTCAATCCTCAACGTCGGGCCCTCCTACACTTTCCACCTTTTTTGAATAACCCATTTTCAGAAAACTTCAGGAAAAAAACTAGGCTCCTTCAAGTCATGGAAGCAGAATACGCGCTATGGATCCCACCCAGACCTTTACAAAACCGGGTAACAAGCCAATAGAACCTCTTATAACTTGGAAAAACTGATAGAACAAAAATATTCAAAAAGACCTATATATCTGCTAAAGCCCTTATAAATCCAAAGCCCTAAACCCGAACCTACGACAAACAGCCGGCCCCCACAAACTTGCTTCCCCAATTAGCCAGGGAAATAAAAGGTTAAACTTTCAGATTGCTACTAAGTTATACCTGTGTCCCCAAACCCTACAGAATAGTAGTTCATGACCCCTTAGTTGTAAGGTATAATCCCAAGAACAGTAGGTTTTTGGATACCCAGGTAAGAACCCAAAAGTGTAAAGGTTGTGTATTGGAGAACTAAGCACAAATTGCCCAAGCCACTCCACCTCGGAGACCTCAAAGCGCTGTAGCGCTTCCTTGGCAGAACGCCGAACCTCCGCGTCGGATCCCAAAACAAAGTTTTTGGGCTTGGGATTTTTTGAAAAATTAGGGGGGGGTTAGGGCTTATAGGGCTTAGGGAAGACAGGAAGCGGGGGAGGATTTAGAGATTGGGAGGAGTTGCTTACTGCTCTTTGCATGTTCTTTTCGGGGGTTGTGTTGTTGCCTCGTTTTCTGTGCTTAAGATGCTAAAGTGGTTCGGATCGGGGGGCCGAGCTGATTTACTTCAAAGAACTCAATCCTTAGAGAGGCTGGGCCAGAAAACCAATGAACAGGGCTTTGGGGTATTGTCTAGGACCCTAAAGACTAGTTTGACTAGTTTTTGAAACCGAGGGCTTCAAGGCAGTGAAGGCGGTTTGAGAAAGCGCGAGGGTTCCAGGGTTCCCGGGCTCAGCCTTCCCTCTCAGGGGGGCCGGATCCGGACTTTGGCTGCAAGCCCCAGAACCTTTCATGTAATACCCGAGGCAAGGTTTAGGGTTTAGGGTTTAGGGCAAAACTTGAAAGAGAAGAACACAAACAACGTGATAAGGCACTACAGGACAGTACAGAATCTCCACAACCCCGAAACAAACAGCGGAAGACCAGAGCCGATTTTTCCAACATGGCAAAAACAGCGAGGCCCTGTGAACCATCGCAACATACCCTTGAAACACAGAGCCGACCGAACCTCCAGTTGATCCACATGCCCTCCCGCTTTCCTCGGCTTTCTCACCATTGAAACTTTATACATTTCTGCATGACCTGTATATATATATATATGTAGATGAAGAAAGGTATAGATGCAGATATAGAGACAAAGAGAGAGTACATTTCTGCATGACCTGTATATATATATATATGTAGATGAAGAAAGGTATAGATGCAGATATAGAGACAAAGAGAGAGAGAGAGAGAGAGAGAGATGGAGAGAGTGGTAGCGAGACATATGATAGCGAGGAAGATGGCGATGGCGATAGAGATATTCATACAGATATCGGCAGGAATACAGGTATATATGTAGATACAGATATAGATATAGATATAAGTCCTTTAACAAATGGTTCACGTATTCACCAAGTGCAAGTCCGACTCACTACCGGTGGCTATGTTCAAACTCAGTCGTTAAGGACACAGTTCTACGGTAACTCCTTGAAAGATGGCCTGTATCCGCAAGTCAGGTCTGTATCGCATGGCCCTGCGAAATACTCAGAATCTGCCAGAAATCCTGGCTTCGGAAACCACAAAGCCTGGCGCCACAAGCCTTCAGAAGCCCTTATCCAAACAGCTTGGATTCTGAACCAGGTTGATGACGGAATCCACGATGCCCAAGACCTCCCGGCTGCAGTCCTTGCAGATCCCTACTGCTGGACCCAAGTGGGGGTTTCCGAAAATAGGGGACCCTCATATAGTACCCTAAATAGTAGGATCCTTATAATATGGACCCCAAAACAAGGTACCCCTTATTTTCGGAAAGTCCCAAGTGTAGCCAGACCAAAACCCTAAACCCTTTTTCAGGATGGGCTTGGATTGTCTGCTAGCGAACACTCATCAACAGCGGAGCCTTATCGTTAAAACCCAAACCCTCAACCCTAAACCGTCGGGTCCAGGGATTCGCCTTTTTTCAACTGTCAACTTACGTAGGCCTTAGGGTGGAGTTTTATGCTCACTCGTAACCCCAAGCGTTATTTTCGGTAGTTTATGGGGTGCCCAATTTCACCATAACCCAGAAAAAACAAAAAACGAAACATGTACCCGAGAGCCGTCGTAACTGGAGTTTGGCATTTATAGCCGAAGGACCCCAGGCCCTACACTCAGGAATCAGGTTGCTACACATCCCTGCCGGAGCTCGGCGTAGCCTGTAGGGTTTCCTTGCAGATTCGGGTTGGGTTTTATAAGGTTTTATAGGGTTTTATGGGGTTTAAAGGAATATACCTTAAATTGTAATAGGAAGTGGGGCTTAGCTGATAAAAACGGATTGGCTTTCATGACCAGGCCGAAGCTTTGGGTTTAGGGTTTCGGGTTTAGGTGCACCGATTACACGAAGTATTATAAGCCACCCTAAACCCTAAACCCTAAAGCCCTGACATTATTTAATGCTTGAGGGCCTCAGGTTTGCGGGTTTTCGGCAGTCGCTCTCGGACAAGCGAGGTGCGAAATAGAACCCGTCTCAGAGTCCTTTCCCTTATAGCGGCTCTATATAAGCGGTTTAATCAGAGTTATGTATAACTATATACACGTATATGTAAGGTGTTTTGTATGAGGGTTTTTTGATGTTTTTTGTAATCAAGGGGCTCAGGCTGGGTTCAGGGTCTACTTGAAGTGTCAGGGGACGTAGTAAGCAGTGTTCAAAGTAGGGTACCTATAGTTTGACCTATTTCTAAATCCGACTAAGGTACACAACAAATCCGCTTACTTACTGATTATATCCCGCGGTCTGTTCTTTTTCAAAACCAAACCCTAAGTTTTGAACTTTGGTGTTTCGGGTGCTTGAACACTGCTCGTTTTGGACGAGGGGTCATGGTTTTGGCGTAGGGCTCAGGGTTAGTGGATGATAGGGTTTAGGGTGTTGGTTCAGGAGGCCGGGCACTTCGTAGCTTTGCTTGCAGGCCTTAAACAGTAAGATGAAGGTAGGGGATCCCTTATATAAGGGTTCGTATTTTGGTGTTACCCACCAGTCTGGTCCTCTTGCGTCACTCCAGCGGCTTCATTGAGCTCGCGGAAATGCCTGGCCATCAGCTTCTCACTCTCAGGGTGCGAGGCGGTCCCCGGTCTCATTTGCTAACGTGGCTCTTCTTTTTGGTTGCTAATACTGTAAATTGCAGCATTTGCTACTGTTTTGCATCAAGCTATTGGGGAATTGCACTTAGCTGGGTGGCATTTTGCCGCTAGCTACGAGACTCCTGTCTTCTGTGAAGCTACTATTGAAGGATTGCAATTAGCAGTGTTTCGTTTTGCCCCAAACTATTGGGGGAGTGCAATTTCGAGTCTCCTGTCTTGTGTCAGGCTATTGGGAATTTACAATTTGCAGGGTCTTGCTGTGTTTCAAACTATTGTGGAATGACACTTTGCAGCTTATACGATTTTATAGAGCCTGATCAGGCTGTCATAAGGGTATTGGAGTCGATTCATGTCGGCCTATAGGGCTTGATAGCGGCTTCAGGGGCCTGAACAGTTGGTGAGCACATCCCAACAGGTCTGCTAAGACTACCCAGTTCTAACTTCCCGGGAACCGAAGAAGAGAGCTTCAGGGTTTGGGGTTTAGGGTTACGACTAATCGTAGAAGCCCGACACAGTTTTGAGGCCGGGAGTGGGAAAGCTACCTGTTTTGACAAACACTTGGCCCAGGCACAGAGAGGTCATCTGCTTCAGCACCCTCCTTGGTGGACTTTAGGGTTTTGGGCTAAGCTCCTGAGAGGGGCACAACACCTTGTAGGTTCATCGCTAGATCTTACGTTGCGATACGTTGCGTCTGCCTTCAAGCACCAACAGTGCGCAGCACTCATCCGCCAAAGCTTACGCGAATGCCAGACCTTTCTTACCGACCAACAGACATGGTCTCGTCCTCGTCATACGGTGCCCTCGTCTTCGAATTCCGAATTCCGCTGCAGAAAACATGCCGAACTCCAACCTCTAATCATCTAATCCCAGCCTTTTTTGCAGCAGGCTTCTCTCACCAGGGATTCAAACACAAAAACACCAAGACATCCTAATGGCCTAAACCGTCCTAACTCCTGATCCCTAAGCCTGAAGCGTTGCACATCATCTTCCTGTTTCCAACAATAGTCAGACACATAAGTTGGCGAAAAAAGTCAAAAAAAGAATGTGTATTTATATTTATATTTATATACATACACACACGCACATATGTACAAATGTAACCTGTTAACCGTAAATCCGAATATTTCGGAACTTCGGCCGGAGTTCTGGAGGCTGGCGCCCGTGCCCTGCAAATTGATGGCCACGTTATTCGCCACGGCATTCAAGAAACGGACGTCTGAAGCCGAGAAAGGAGCCTGGCTTACTTAGGGTTTGTTTAGGGTTTAGGAGTTTAAGGCTTTTTGGGTTGACAGTCTTTTGGGTGTGTACGCCTTCGGGGGCAAGGGATTCAGGGTGTACGGCTGAGAGTCTAGAGTCGACGGTCTTGGAAACTTGGCCCAAGGGCTGTATAGGACGAAGAGGTGAAGGTTAAGGGTTTAGGGTTTAAGGTTTAGGGTTTAGCATTTTTATGCTTCAGATTTTGAGCGCCTTGCTTGGGGTGTTTGGGGCTTCTATAGGGCTTTCGGGCTCAAGGTCTACACCGTTTCAGCCCTGATCTTTCATATATATATATATAGATAGATAGAATATAGAGTTTTAGAATCAGAAATGAGGGAACTCTGAGAAGAACGCAAGGTTCAAAGCAAGCGGATACGTGGATGATTTTTCGGAAGTCACAGCAGCGAGGTTTGATGCTATCCATCTTTGTTGCATCAGAACTTGTGCAATGTATGTAAGTATCCGATCTTGGCAGCACTTTCTGACCCTTCTACGGGAATGAGTGCCAACCGTCTGGTGTAGAGTTCAAACTATCCACAATCGGTAATCATCACACACATACGGCTTTGGGAGTTTAGGGTTTAGGGTGCGATATGTCCAGCATCGAAATCACTAGGGCAGAGGTAGATAGCATCAGGGCCAAAGCTGCCCCCGGCGATTTCCATCTTCATAGTTTCAAAAAGATGGCAGCTTGAGTGAATTGAGGATATGATATTTTCACATCTTGCCGTGGTACGGACCATACCCGCAAACAACACTGAGGAACCAAAGAGACTGAATACGGCCTTCAGCAGGAAAATGAGATGTTCACTCCATGAAGCTAAGAATGGTGGTGAACTAGAGCTTCGCAACCAGCACCCTCATCAGCATGACGCTTTTGCAGTTTGCACCTTCTCAAAACTGGGAAAACCACTTCTGCAGGAGTCAAAGGTGATAGCAGTTGACCTGTAGGTAGGATGAGTTGTTACTAGTGGTCGCCGCTAGCAACGTCTTCTTCTCATCTCTATCGTCATTGCTGCCATCATTGGCATGATCTTCACCAGCACTACAATACGGAGCTGCGCTCCATTGCAACACCCTCAGCGGCCGCAGCCAGCAGGAGGCAGCAACAGACACATCACCGCATCCGCTACACCACCATCAGCAGTAAGCAAGCAAACATTCATCCACGACGAGGATGACGACGCAGTGTTCTGAACCTGCGGTACATCTCAGGACTTGTGGCAACGGCAGCTACATGACACGCAGACATGATTACCTATGCGCACATCATCCTCATCGACGTCATCACACTCCCCATCATGATCTGCTTTTTCATCTTCATCTTTACCTGCATGTTCACCATCACCGCCACTATCATCTTCATCTTCGTCATCCTCATCATTGGGGCTATCCATCACCGTCATCTGCCCCATGGGTCCGATCATGGGCAGCACAAGAACCGTCGAGTCGCTGCGTGTAGATAGAGAAGCCCACAGCAGAAGCAAGCAAACGACAGCAATCCAGCAATTCATCACAAGCCAATGTTGCTGTGACATCTTCCTAAAGCTCGAAACCCTAACCAAACCCCAAAACCCTCAAGCCCCAAACCTAGAACCTCAATAACCAAACCCGACACCTGACTGGAGGGTTCAACCTTCGAATCTACACTGACGTCTGTCGGTTAGCTACGAAGACAACTGATGGGCTAGCCTAGGGTTTCGTAGGGTTTAGCTTAGGGTTTTGTAGGATTTAACCCTAAACCCTAAACCCCTAAACCCTGAACCCTTTACACAAGGGCTGGGTCCGAAGGTACGGCCGAGAAACTGCCACGTCTGCATCCTTCAAGCAAGCTAGGACCGCCAAGACCTTCAGGGCTTACCCTCAACCCTTGTCGACCGGTTCCTCACAGCCTTACTATGATTTTGTAAATCTATTCCTGAATTAAGTAGGTTCTTTGGGGTTCAGGTCAGGCAGCGGGGCTTTCTAGGCCTCGGGTCAAAGTCGCGGGCCCTTCCTCTTCCTATGCTTACCCTAACCATACACTGTGTTCAGGCTCGTAGGTTTGCAAGTGGATTTGGTATGAAGGTGTTAGATGGTTTTGTACTACGGTGTGCGGTTTGGGATAGGGCTTCTTGGTGTGTCGCATGGCTGAAAAAGCACACATGCTTTTTCCGTGCTGGGATCCAACTCGTGGTTTAGTGCTTAGGGATAAGCCGTTGGTTCACTAACGGAGTCTTGGGTTTGGGTGTTTGGGCCTGTGGTGCTTTTGCTTCAGGGGTTCCGAGAGTTACCTTAGCTTGTATTTCCAGTCACCTACACAATGATCTTGGGACTTATAATTGGAATAGCATTTTAACATGTTATACTATAGATTGTGGCAAATTTTCACTCAGGAGCCCTAAGAAGTAGTCCCCTGAAGCCCGCCCAAGACACAGAACCCCAAACCTTGAAACCCTAAGCCCAAATACCGGAACCCCAAACCGTGAAAGCCTAGACCCCTCCAAAAGCAAACCCTACTTGAAGGCAACCCGGAGCACTACAATTCACAGACTCCCTTAAACCCATCTTAAACCCTGACAACCGTTGAAGACCCCTTATAAAAACCCCTAAGAGGTGAACCCCAATGCCTCCCCATCCGTTGAGATACATGGGGAGGCCAGGACAGCGCGAAGATTCATCCCCGTGTTGCGGTAATCCTCGTGGATTGGTGGGGTTGAGGCCCATCCTAGAGGTTGCTGTATAGTTGCAAGGGCTCCCGTAAGGCTTCGTATGGGGTAGCAAGAGCAGCAGTGACAGCAGCAGTAGCAGTAGTAGCTGCCACACTTAGCCCTAGAGCCTTATTAATCCGGTCCAGAAGTTCACAGGGCTGAGGGCTTCTGGCTTCAGGGGTTTAGGGTATAGGGTATAGGGTTTACGGTTTAGGAGTTCGGGGGGCTTGCCCTAGAAGTCTTAGGAATGTTTCCCACAGTTTAAGCCTTGAGCTTTTTGTTTTGGTATCAAGAGACGGCCTGAATGATTGGAACAGGATGTTTCGATATAGCTATGTAGGTATTGAGACCCCCTATACCAGCTTTACATCCGAAACCCTTGAACATTTGCACTTGTAGAAACCTTGCGTAAATGAATCAAAGCCTTACAAAACCAAAGAAGTCTGTGCAAGGCTTGAGAAACTTCATAGGAACCCTACATAGCCCTTGTGAGAACCCCTATCACACATTGCAAAAATCGGAAAACCCTTAACACATCTAACAAGCCCATTTAGTAAGCACTACATCTCAAACCTTCAAGGGGAACACTGGGTATCCTAAACCCTAAACTCCAAAAACACCTAAACCCAAAGCCCCAAACCCCAAAAACTCTAAACCCCAACCCCAAAACCCCAAAACTCTAAACCCCAACCCCAAAATCCCAAAGCTCTAAACCCCAAAAACTCTAAACCCCAAAGCTCTAAACCCCAAACCCAGAACCCCAAAGCTCTAAACCCCAAACCCAGAACCCGAAGCCGTGTCCTCGTGAACCTCCGCCTTGTAGAACCGAGAGTTGACCAAGTCGTTGACGCAGATGGTGACGCCATCCTTTCGGGTTTATAGGGTTTAGGGGTTTAGGGTGTAGGGATTTAGGGGTTTAGGGTTTGGGGGTTTAGGGTTTAGGGGTTTAGGGTTTGGGGGGTTTAAGGCTTAGGGTTTGCCATCCTTTCGGGGTTCGGGGTTTCTTAGGGGCCGAGTACCTTAGCCTAAAAAAGGTTAACCTGTTGAATTGAGATAGGTTTATGTAAGCCCCATACCTACTCAGCCCCTAAGGTTTAGGAGGACCTTTTCGGGTTTCAGGGCTTACCCATAGGCTCCTAAGTAGTTCCCTTTTTGGGATTATCTTATAGGATCCTAAATATGAACCCAGAAAGGAACTTCTATGGAGCCTATGGGTAGGGTTTAGGGTTTCAGGTTTGGGGGTTTAGGGTTTAGGTGTTTAGGGTTTGGGGGTTTAGGGTTTTTTCCCCTCCCACTTAGCAAGGACAGGGGTTTAGGGTGTAGGGGTTTAGGGTTTGGGGGTTTAGGGTTTAGGGGTTTAGGGTTTGGGGGGTTTAAGGCTTAGGGTTTGCCATCATTTCGGGTTTAGGGTTTCTCAGGGGCCGAGTACCTTAGCCCAAACAAGGTTAACCTGCTGAATTATAATAGGTTTATATAAGCCCCAAAAGATTAAAGGTTACTTACTCAGCCCCTAAGGTTTAGGGTTTGGGGGTTTAGGGTTTGGGGGTTTAAGGCCTAGGGTTTGGGGGTCTTACTCAGCCCCTAAGGTTTAGGGTTTGGGGGTTTAGGGTTTGGGGGTTTAAGGCTTAGGGTTTGGGGGTCTAGGGTTTGGGGGTCTAGGGTTTAGGGTTTGGGGGTTTAAGGCTTGGGGTTGGGGCTTAATCCCCTGAGGCTCTTATAGAGTGGGTTGCTTTTTCAATGGTACCGTGTGCGTATTTTGTAAGGTCCCTTTTAAGGTTTATCGGGTGGGCCTTGATAGGGTTTAAGACATCGAGCAAGTTTCTTTCAACTTTCCGCTTCTGAGTTGTTACAGGGGCGTTCATATAGTTCTTTAAATTCGGGTCCCTTTTAGTGTCCTTTTTATAAGGGTGCCGTACAAAGTTGGGGACCTGAAAAGGGACCCCGATTTAGAGAACTGCCCATGTACTAGCCCCAATGGCTTAATTCGACTCTTAGTTTAGCAGCTTTATACACCCCAGAGTTGCTCAAATCCTACAAAACGGAACCCCTAAACCCCAAACCCCAAACCAGGAAGTCCTCCTTGCACTTGTGGAGGACCGGCGCCTCTGCCGCAGAGGTGCGGAAGGAGGGCACCTTATCGCTGACCTTCAGGATCAAGTCATCTTTGTGACCAACATCCTGGGATCGGGACAGCTTGGTCTTCTTTTTTTCTTTTTGCATCCAGGACTCTCGCAACCCGGCCCTCAAACCCTAAACCCAAGCTGGTCATTTTTAAAAGGCCCCCGTGAACCCTAAACCCTAAACCCAAACTGGTCTTCTGTTTTAAAAAGGCCCCCCCTAAACCCTGAACCCTAAACCCAGACTGATCTCTTTTTGCTTTAAAAGGCCCCCCTAAACCCTAAACCCAAACTGGTCTTGTTTTTAAGGCACCCCTAAACCCTAAACCCAAACTGGTCTTCTTTTTTAAAAGGGCCTCCTAAACCCTAAACCTTAAACCCTAAACCCAAACTGGTCTTTTTTTAAAGGGCCTCCTAAACCCTAAACCTTAAACCCTAAACCCAAGCTGGTCTTTTTTTTTAAAGGGCCCCCCCTAAACCCTAAACCTTCAATGCTAAACCCTAAACCCAAACTGGTCTTTTTTTGAGGCGAAGGAGCCTACTGGAAACACCGTAACCCACCACTACCACCCTACCCCCTTTCTGAGGGGGAAAGACCTGACCAGGTTTGGGCTTTAAGTTGAGGGGCTTACCCATAGGCTCCTAAGTAGTTCCTTTTTGGGATTACCTTATAGGATTCTAAATATAAACCACAAAAAGGAACTACTTAGGAGCCTGTGGGTAGGCTCTGGATGACTGTCATGCTCTGTGCGGAGTTTAGGAGTTGAGGCTGCAGCTTCTGGGATACTATCATGTAGTTTAGGGGTTTAGGGTTTAGGGTTTTTGTTCTGTGTTGGATCCGGTTTCCAGGTCGGCACCGTAGGATCTGGTTTCCGTACGGCGAGCTTTGCAACTAGACCTGAATTAAATGCTTTGCTATCCTTGGTCCCCCTAAGCCCTAAACCCCTGAAACCTTAAACTCAAACCCCCAAGTCCTAAATCGCAATTAAAAAAAGTACAGGACTTAGGAGCCGAGTACCTTAGCCCAAAAAATGGTTAACCTTTTGAATTATGATAGGTTTATACAAGCCCCAAAAGGTGGAAAGGTTACCTACTCAGCCGCTAAGAGGAAGAGCCCTTTAAAGCCTCTGAAAAATATTAGTAAATAGGGTCCTCTTAAGCCCAATAAGCGAAAAGGTAACATATACCAAAGGCCTACCTAGAAAAAAGTACAGGAAGAGCCGGGGATCTCCCACCATGAGAATCGTCGCCGAGCCCCTCAAGACCTCGGTACAGTCGCGCATGACCTCCTCGTAGATATTCTCCAGCCGCGAGTCCTGCTCATTAAAGGAAACTACAGGTGTGGAGTTTAGGGTAAAAAAGGGCTTCTAGAAGGCTTCTATAAGGTATATAAACCTTCTATAGGGCTCCTATAACGGTAACTACCCACCTGAAAATGTCCTAGAGCTCAGTGCTCTTGCCCTTTTACCCTCAGCCCTAAACCTTGAAGGAAATGCAGCGCGAACCACAAGACCTTCCTGTCCTAAGCCCCAAACCTCTAGCAAACCTTAAACCCCCCTGACCCTATAGATCTGGCGGAGTCCTGTGCCGGGTTGAGACGCACTCCCGGCATGTTCAGTGCCCGCTCGTATCTCTCCTCCGAGGCAATGCTCTTTGGTAACCAACCCGTAACCCGCTCTTGACCTACGCTAAACCCTGAACTGAAGCTGGACCCGAAACTGACGACTGACAACCTATACATGGATCTACAATGAAGCCAAAGAAGGCCGGGTCTTGGAAGACAAGACAAGTCCCCCCCGACTCTGAACTTTTTTGAATCACGGTCTGGTGCCAAAGTCTGAACCTAAAGCCCTAAAGCCCTAAACACTCCCAAACCAAACCCTAAATCCTAAACCCTTCAACCCTAAACAGTCCCTCAACCCTAAACCCTGAACCCTACACCATGTAAACCCTAAATCCTAAATATCCTAAAAGCCCGGCCCCTTTTGTTCAACCCAGACTCTGCCGATCAGCCGGCCCCATACGCCCAAACTTTCCAAACCCCTGAAACCCTGAGCCCTAAACCAAACCACCTCAAAAGCCGCCAAAGTACCGAGCCGAAACCCTGATCACGGTTTAGGGGTTTAGGGGCAAAAGCCCAAAAAACCCTTGCTTGAGGAGGCTCTAGAGCTGCTCGGAAGCCCGAGGACAGGCCGTAGGCAGTGGACAAGCTTGTCCTCAGGGCTTGACAAAGGTGTCCTTTCAGGGATTCTCCAGGTTTTCATAGCTTTTTTTTTTAATAGCGTTTTAAAAAGGGTTCTTTTTGAGGGGTCAGAATCTTTCAAAGGGTTTAGGGTCTTCTTGAGGGGTCAGAACGTTTCGAAGGGTTGCGTAAGATTTCCTTTCGATGGTCCTTCAGGGCTTGGAGGGTTTAGAGCAAGGGCTCGATGGTTTCCTTTTTTAAAGGTGGGTAGAGGCCACCGTAAAACCCCTTCATAATGGGGTCTTTGGTTTGGTGTTGTAGGTTGTTCAGAAGGGTCTATCTTCGGGGTGTATCATTGTACTGTAAAGCTTTGGGAGGGCTCTTGTTTTGAAGAGTTCTTCAGGGTTTTAGATGGTTCTTGCCTGTATCGGGGTTTAGGGTTTAGTAGGGTAGTTTAGGGTCCTCAACGGGCTCCCTGAGGGTTTTTTTGTCTGGACCTGGGGGACCTGGGGTTTGCGGAGGGCTTGTTTAGGTTTCACGGATTTAGGGATTGAAGGGTTCAAGGATCAGGGATTTAGGGTCTAGGGTTCAGGAAGATACTACGAGCATTATTGTTAGGGTTCCAGGCGTTAGGCAAGTTTGCAAGGGTTTTACTACTGGCTGCATGTAAAAGAATTTATTGTTTTTAACAAGAAAATCCAAGAATACAAGGTAAAGAACTTCTGCCGGGACCTGAATGATGAATTTTCAGATCCAGGGCTAACAGGTACAGACGAAGGTCTGTCCGGTTTAGGAGATGGGGCTGAGGTGTTGGCACTGAAGGTTGCGTCTGGGAACAAGAAGCACTTTCCCTCTCTGGGTTCAACGAATCGTTTAGCTTTTCACTTGTTGGTGCATGTTGGGCTCAGCACTGCCAACTGGCATTTGTAGCTAGTATGAAAATGAAAAAAGTTGTTTAGTTAAACCTTGAGAGGACGACATGTGGCATGCATCCTAGGCGGAAATTTAATAAATATTGTGTATAGAATAAAATTAATGTAAATCCGTTTTTCTATTAATGTAAAAGGAACTGCAAACATGGATTCAGAGCCGGGTGTCGAGATCTGAGAACACAGGGCAGCGCACACGTCCTGGTCAGGGATGGCCCTAAGTAGCACTTAGGATTAGGGGGGCCCTTCAAAATATAGACCCCTCTCAAGAAGGTCCCGTTTAAGAGAGCCATAAGTAGGGTTAAGAAGAGTCCCCTTTAAGGGGTCGCCCTTCATTCTGCCTAGAACTAAGCCCTAAACCTCGAGCTTGGGCTTAGGGTTGAGGAGATAGGGGGTCGGCGGTCGCACGTGGCACTACCAGGCAAGCCTCCTAAATCTCCGTATATAAACATATGTATATATATATACACACATATTGTACATATATGCAGTATCATATACATACATGTATGTTGCAAGCTGTTGCCGAGTGCGTGTGCATGTATGTATACATAACTAAGTAAATACATACAACACCAAAGCTAAATACTTATGTGTGTGTGTATACAGTATATATATATATAGAAATATAAAAATGCATTCACACGAAAGAGACACCGAGAGACCAAGGGGGAGGGAGAGAGAGAGAGAGAGAGAACGGGACAGCGAGGGAGAGGCATCGAGAGAGAGAGAGAGAGAGAGGATGGAGGTTTCCACATCTTCTGAGCCCGAGGCCTTGTGTAGGGCTGGGCCGGAATGCATATGAGTGTTTTTCCTAGGGGTTACGGGGGCCATGACTGGTCGTTGATGAACCGAGCCCAAATTCCCGGAAATCCCAAACCCCGCACACCTAGTTACGAACGCCTAAAACCCTGAACACCTCTGCGGAAGAAGAACATACTACCCAGAATCTGGGGAATAGCAGGTCAAACAACAAACAAGTTACCAACACCCCCCAAACCAAAAACCCTCAACCCCAAACCCTAGACCCTACCTCATCTCGATCAAGGAAGCCGTGGCCCTCTGTGCCCCGCTTGTTGATGAGCTGGAGGACGCCGAGAACCTGGGGGGGATCTGGTTCTTGGGCGGGTCAGTGTTTAGGGATTTAGGGGTTTAAAAGACCTCGAAGACGTAGGGGAGAGGGAATTGCTGGTATAAGGGCAAGGGCTGCAGGGGTTAGGCTTTTTGTATTAAGGTTAGGCTTAGAGTTTAGTTAGCGGTCTGGGAAAAAGGCGCCCTAAACCCCTAAACCCTGAACCCTAATTGCCAAGCTCCTTACTCATTATTCCTGAAATTTTATGGCCCTGGGCTCTTGCGGTAGTTGGTCTATAGGGTAACAATTTCATCTCAAACCTAAGTTCTCACTTAATTGCAAAACCCTAAGCCCTAAACCCTAAAACCTACCGAAACCCTAAACCCTAAACTCTACCGCCTTGGCAGTGACAGGGTGAGGGCTCGACTCTGGGTGGGTGTGTTGCAGGTGGGAAAACATCCATAGGTATCAGGTTTGGGTGTAATATAGCGGCCTTAATAATTAGAATAGGGTTTTGGGGCCCATTATACTATAATTATAATAAGGAACCCCCCAAAATAGTAAAGGTAATTCTTAAGGCCCGTCTAGTAGGGCTTTCTGGTTGGGGCCTCGGGTTTACGGCATCGTCATGAAATTCAGGCTGCTTATAGTCTCCATTGCAGTTCCTTCTTTTTCTTAACCCTGTCGAGGGGCCTATGGTAAGACATGGTCAACCCAAAAGCCACAATTGAGACAATTAACTTTATTGAAGCCCAATTGTGAGAGAACCCTGACAAGTTAGGTTATTGGGGGTTCAGGTCTAGGAGATAGGATTAGGGGGACCCTTGGGGATATAGACCCCCTCAGTAAGGTCCTTCTTAAGAGAGCCACACATAGGGTTAAGAAGGGTTCCTGTAAGGGGTCTCCCTGATACTACCTGGGAGGTAGGGTCTTGATGCCAACTTCCGGCCTTGGTTTCTTGATCGGCAGGATCGACGCCAATCACCGGCATGCATAGAACTGAACGGACAGACACACCGGTGCCAAAGTAGTCATCATGTCGCTTCGGGTTGTACAGCTCCGTCTTTCTCAGGTCGTCCACGTTCATGAAATGGCCAGTTTCGGCTACCCTGCCGGCCACACCCTCGCCGATGCGCAGATGGTCTTTCAGCGCGTGGTCAGAAGAAGAGCGCAAGTACAAATGCCGCTTCTCGTAGTCCACCAGAAACAGCAAAGCTGCCTCGCAGTCCAAAAGTTTCGTCACACTCTCGACCACGACGTCGAACATTTCATCTAGGGCCTTCTCCCTCTTGCGTACATCGCTGTGGTCCATGAACAGCAGTGGGAACATGCCGACCAGGCAACCTATGCAAATGCCTACCAGTTGGCCCAAGCGCTCATAATTCTTCGTCACGGCCATGCCTTCTTGGACACGGGTTAACTTGGGTGCCTCCACCCCGTATTTGGCGGCCATTTCCTCCACCAATGTGCCGGAGAAGACGCCGACAGCATCAGAAAAAGTGTTGCCAAGAGCTGCAGCAGCCATCGTCGAGAGCCCAAACTGTACACAAAGAGTTGCATCGATGACTTCACCCAGTAGAATCATGATAGCATTGTCCAAGACACCAAAGCCAAAGAAAGGGATCGCAGCGGCAGTGGCCGCCATCCTAAGCTGAGTCTTTGTTGGTGATGCTTCCCCTTCCGAGGAAAATGTCTCAAGGACCTTGGCAACTTTGTCGGCTGTCGCATCATCCAGGAGTTCAGCAATGTGGGGTGCGACGGCTGGGTTGTGCTCGACCGCCGCCGCCAACCCCTTTACCAACTCCTGTTGTCTCAAGGAAACACCTATAGGCTTTTTGAAGACTGTACAGGAGTTTCAATACGACAATAAGAGAGGCTTGCTGGGCTTTGTGTTTCTAAAGTTCGTGGCAAGCCCGTTGCAGATGTACATACACATATGCACGCAACATGCGAATGCGAATCAAAAACAGGCTTTACTCTCGTTATAACTGGAACCCAGGCTCTCTCCGCGACGACGCACCCCGCGCTGGCGGACGGAACCTTGGGATCTGAGCAAAGGAGCGCTGCGCTCGCGTGCGAAGCCGCCCAAGCATGCCTTTTTTTTTTAAAAAACTTCAAATGGACAGAGGCCACCAGAGACTCCAAGTAAGGCCCTTTTGTAAAGATATTGATTTGGATAAAACAGGTGTATACATATATATATATATACATACATACATACATACATACATACATACATACATACATACACACACACAGATACAGATACAGATACAGATACAGATGCAAACACATGTATATGTAAATGTTTATGTATATGTACATGTTTATGTTATAGTCATTCAGACTGGAGCTATAGTAGGGATCCTTCCTATTCCGCGAGAAGGGGCCCTGAGGGAGTCTTTGGGTGCCTGGCAGCTTGGGCCAGCATAAAAGGGGGCTACGGCGTGTATCGTTCACTTATGGTTTAGGGTTTAGGGGTTGAGGGTTTTGGGGTTTAGGGTTTAGGATTTGCGGTTGAGGGTTTAGGGTTTAGGGTTTAGGGTTTTGGGGTTTTGGGTTTAGGATTTGCGGTCGAGGGTTTAGGGTTTAATGGGTCTGGGCCTTGAGTTTAGGGTTTAGGGGTTCGGGGCCGGTCAGCTAGGCTTCAGGGTTTAGGACCGTTTAGGTTTTGGGGTTTTAGGGTCTGGGGTTTAGTTAGGCTTCGGGTTTAGGGCTTAAGGTTTAGATTTTTGGCTTCGGGTTTCAGGTTAGGCTTACATCTCCTTGATCCCCCTTCGAACCGTCCAGACTCCTGAATATGAATGAAAACACAGGGTCCTCGACGCAAGCGTTTGATCTAGGAGCCTTGCGAATTAGAATGCTGCAGTAAGATCTTTTATGAAATATTTACAGAGGGACTCTATGGAGACGCAACTTCTAAAATTCTTAAGGAACCCGGTGCCCTAAACCCCTACACTCAAGCTCTTTGCAGAGGTCAATTGCTGTTGTCCATAGCACCGCGACTGAATCAGGGCTAAGTCCTAAACCCTAGAGCCTAAACCTTTTAGCCTAAACCCTGAACCCTAAACCCTAAACCCTTAAGCCTACACCCCGAACCCCCCCTGATGTTGATTGTGGCCCAAAGTCGAAGCCCCAAACCCAAAGCCACGGTTTAGGGTTTAGGGCCAAACCCGGTGTAGAGGTGTTCGGGGTTCGGGGTTTAAGGGTTCAGGGGTCTACCTGGCTTTGGGTATCGTATTTCTTGAGGCTTCGGAAGCCTCCATAGCCCCAACCCGAAACCTTGCACTTTCTGCCCGACAAACCCTCCACCCCGAAGTTTGTAGTAGCGATTCCCGGCAAACCCAAAAAGCCGCAAGCATAACTCCTTCAGAGTAAACCTCAAACCCTAACCGTAGATCTGCCCCCCATAAACCCCGGAATTCCCGAAAGCAAGCTTTCTTATTCTGGACGTACTGAAGGGCTATATACACCTTAAACCCTAACCCTAAACTTCGAACCAAAGACCGAAACCTCATAAGCCCAAATCCAAATCCGCTGAGCTTCCTCCTCAGGGTCCCGAGCCCGAAGACACCAGAGAATTGAGGATTTAGGGGTTAGGGGTTTACGGTTTAGGGTTTTAGGGTTTAGGGTCTAGGGTTTAGGGTTTGCGGCTCGGGGCGGAAGGGTATCGGGCATAGTGTGGAGGGTGGCTCAGGGTTCAGGGATCTCGGATTTTATGATTGTCGGTATAGAGTTTAGATATGTTGAGAGCTCAAGAGTCTTGGGGTTAAGGTTTGGGGCTTTTAGGGTTTCGGGTTTGGGGCTTTAGGGTTTTAGGGGTTAGGGGTTTAGGGGCTTAGGGTTTAGGGCTTAGAAAGACCTGAAATGACTCTAGCAAACCGTGTAAAACTATGTAGGGTTGGGACGGAGCTTCTGCCTGCCTCCTTCCTCCTCAGCTTTACCAGGCTCCTGGCCACATGTCAGAGCTTTCCGAGGGGGCCCATCCCACTCTGATGTAGGGTTTAGGTTTAGGGTTTAGGATAAACTCAATGTAGACGTATAACTTCGTCAGTATTTAAAATCCAAAACATTTGCGGAGACGCCTATGCCTTTCAGCAGGAGTCAAACACGACAAGCTTGCGTACTCATGGCAGGGTATACGCGTGACTGCTGCATGCGATTCATAGTACATCAAGGGTGTACATTGACTCTAACACCCCTAAGCCCGACTCAGCCCGACATCCTAAACCCATTAATTTGGGGGCCTCCTCCTCCTCATCGAGGTCCGGAAGCAATGCATCCAGCTTGTTGGGCGGTGGGAAAGCGAAGGCCACCGTCCCTTATGCGAGGGGACGGTCGAGCTCTTGGTCCTATAAGACCAACTAGGGTGTAGGGAATCAGGGGGTTCCTTAAAGAATTACAGAGATTCAAGGAGCAAGAGGCGAATCAAGGCTCCTTTCAGGGTTCCGATTGGCTTCTATATATATATATACATATATATATATATTATATATATATATAAAAGGACCCTAAACGCTAAACCCTATAAACCCTAAGTTGACATCTCTTCAATGTAAGACTGTAAAGGGCTCTCTTGCTTCCGAGCTGGAAAGCGTCGGTATTCAAGGCACCCTAAAAGGGGAACCCTAAGATAAGACATTCTGAGTTAAAGGAAACTACAGGTGGGAAGTTTAGGGTATATAGGGCTTCTATAAGGCTTCTATAGGGTCTATAGACCTTCTATAAGGCTCCTATAACGGTAACTACCCACCTGAAAATGCCCTAGACCCTAAACCCTAAACCGCATAGACCTGGAATAAGGATTCAGGGCTTGATGCCTTATACGGAATTCTCAGAACGGAGCCATCGTATAAACTTATAAACACTAAACTGAATAGTAGGATCCTCCATGTGCAAACCTATACTACACCCCCGCCCCCCGAGAGCACAACAGAACTTTCGAAACCTGGAGCAAGCCTTTTGCCCAAGAGGAAGCTCAGCAATTTGGAAGGCTTGGAGTTATAAGGGATCAAACCCAGAATCCTTATTCCAGGTCTATGCGGTCTAGGGTTTAGGGTTCCGGGTAACCCTAAACCCTAGAGCGTTTTCTGAAGGGCTTGGAAGTGTGAGGTTTTGTTGTTTTTCCTAGAAGCTGGGACTTGGGCGAGTCTTCTCGGGTTTAGGGGTGCAGGGTTTAGGCTTAGGATGTAGCGCTTAGGGGTTTGTTTCTTTCGAAGACTGGACATGGCAGCAAGGGAATTTGAAGGTCGCGCGCTCACCCCAGCACCCTGCAATCAAAGCGCTAGATGCGCCACAGCATCGGGCTTAGACAGCGAGGGCCTTTGGGCGAGTTGTTTAGATCCACACACCTGAACACAACTCACACTAAACTAAACCTTCAACTACAACACTTGCAGCAGTCCCTGTAAAGCCATGTAGGCCGACAAGAAACGACAACCTCGAAAGAAGGCAACGCCAAACCCTACACATCCCCAGCCTGACCCTTGAGCCCCTGCCGAAGGCTTCAATCGCCCCTAACAGCAACCCTGAAGCCCCTGAGGGCTCAATCCTATACACCCCAAAACACCCTACACCCCTAAACCCTAAACCCTAAAACCCTAAGCCCTAAACCCTAAACCCTAAAACCCTAAACCCTACAACCCTAAACCCAAACAAACCGTAAGCCCAAACCAGGCCAGGGCGCCGAGGTTAACTCGAAGCCGTCCATTCTCACCAGCCGCTGCGACTAGACAGAGCCTCAGCGCAGCTAAGGAATTCGGCTGTTTTTTCGGCTGTTTTGGGGAAAGGGGGTTTAGGGGTGTAGGCGTTTAGGGTTTAGGGGTTTAGGGTTTTGGGGGTTAGGGGGGAAAAGGGGGATCTGGTTCTGCTTGTGTTGTTGGTGTGTGTTCGTTCTTTTCTTCGGGGCGTTTGGCGCCGGACTTGAAAGGGATGTCGGAATGCAGTTCCGACATTCAGATTTCAAGATTGAAGCACTAACAACAATGAGAATCACAAGAGCCCAAGTAGTCAGGGCTTTGAACTTAAGCGTTAGCGCCTGAAAGGACTTACAGTGTTTATATGGGTTGGAACTCTTCAAATATCTATGCATCGGTGGGTTTGACTATAAATTCGTACATTCGCTCCGTTGGTTGAAATTATGGAGGCAGTATCTTGGCTCCTGACGTGTCTAAAGACGGACCCTTATTGAAGAAAGCTCGTTCCACCTACCATGGCCCATGCCCTAAAGCCAATGCCTAGTACCTAGAAGCATCATCCCCTGAACATACACCCCCTCTCATATCAAAAAATATTGCTCAGTGGGTAGTTAATTATGCACTTTCAGGGCCCGGAGATATTAAAAGTTATTGCTTAACCGCTAAGTCTTTGAACCAGTGGCGAGGCAGCAACCGCAAGACAAGACTCGGGCTTCACACGCACAGCACGCAGTAAGGCCTTATTGCAATCACACACCAGCACCCAAAGACGCCATCCTAAACCCTAAACCCTAAGCCCTAAACCCCCAAACCCCAAGCCCCAAACCCGAGACCCTAAGCCCTAAACCCCCAAACCCTGAACCCTAAACCCGATAATAAGCCCTGAACCCCCAAAACCTAAACCCTATAAGCCCTAAACCCCCAAACCCTAAACCCTAAGCCCTAACCCCCCAAACCCCAAACCCTAAACCCTATAAGCCCTAAACCCCCAAACCCTAAACCCTAAGCCCTAACCCCCAAAACCCCACACCCTAAACCCTGTAAGCCCTAAACCCCCAAACGCTAAACCCTAAGCCCTAACCCCCCAAACCCCAAACCCTAAACCCTATAAGCCCTAAACCCCCAAACCCTGAACCCTAAGCCCTAACCCCCCAAACCCCAAACCCTAAACCCTATAAGCCCTAAACCCCCAAACCCTGAACCCTAAACCCGAAGTCAAACCGGCCGCCAGCGCCTCAGGCCGAAGCCTTGAACTGTTAAAGCCCATGTAATCCTTTCTCAGAGAGCCCAATACCCCTTAACTAAGGCAACTAAGGAATATACCTTACATCACCTCAACCCTAAACCCCGAACCCGAAACCCCAAACCCCAGAGAACCCAATACCCCAAAACTAAGG